GGTGGAGCGAAGGTGAAGGCGTAAGTAGCGCCGCGGGGTGTCTCGCTTTACATTGGTAGCACTTGTGCCGTTACCGGCTAACACCTGCTGCGCCAGGCGCCGGGATGGCCCGAGGCACCGAGTTGTGCTGCTGCTAACGCGAGTTACGCGTAATACGCTGAATAACAAAGAACAAGAAAACTTAACATTTCCCTTTCTTCCCCAGGGACCGAGACAGACAAAGCGGATTTGTATCGGGGACAGTTTTTCAGTAACTTTATACTCGCTTGTGTATTTAGCAGCCTAAACTGAATAGTGAAATGTCCCCGAAGAAGAAGGTGAAGAGAAAACATTCTGGTAAAAACTTAAAGGTAGGTTTTGCTAGGTAGAGCTGAACTAAACCAGGCGGCGTTTGGTTGTGTTTTGGTGCCTGGGGGCATGGGTGCACAGGGGACAATGTGGGGCTGTGCTGTGCCGGTCTGGGGTGCGTGGGGCCTTCTTTTTTTTTTCTTTTAGGAACAGTAGCACGTTCTCAGGCAGAGCGGGCTGCTGGCTTTCAACTAGGCAAAAGTTTGAAACCAGTCTTATAAAACAAAAAAGATCAGCTCGTAGAGGAAATAGCTGATGCGCCTGTATTCAGTACCATAACAAAGCCTCTGGGGCACTGCTAAGTGCTGGTGAGATTAAAAGCTCAGGAAGTTGGCGGTTCCTGGTTCTATGCACGCAAACAAATGAGTGAGGAAATTCACTCCCATGCTTAAGGTGCAAATAACACATTTACAAATATTTCACAAAATAGCATAGTTCTCCTCTGCCCTTCTGCTTTGACAGAAGACTGTGTAATACTTGATTTATAATTTCCTCTTTATAAAAAAAAATATGCTGTAGCTTCTTAATGCTTTAAAGTGAAAATAATTAAATTGGATAAGGATAGAAATTTATGTAACATAGAGATGAAAGAAGCAACGCTTTCACTTCTGAAAAGAGGCCACAGATCATAGAAGCCACATATTAGACTGTTATATTTCTAACCTTATAAGCTCAGTTTTATAGAATTAGACAAAGTTTGCGCTGCAGTATCAAATAGCAGAATATACAAGTTTTATGCCTTCACTTCTCTTAGCAGGAAAAAAAAAAACAAACCACACCCTGAGGAAAAAAGCCACGCTTCAGACACTTTATTTCATAGCTCAGTAGTCAATATAGTCATGGTTAAATGTATTTCTGGTCAAACTTTCTTGAAATTCTTTGTCATATTTGATCTCTTATGCCCGTAAAGCTGGATGAACTAGCTATTAATTTCCTACCCATCCAGGAGCACAAAGCCAGCGCCCATCCTCCTCCGAAATTACTTCCACTTGAGGAACCAGATGTCTCAAGGATATTGAAGGTAGCACAAGGAGATCAGCATGAGGAGCTTGATGATTCATTTGGTTAGTATTAACCCGAATGTCATTTAATGTGTGATTTTCATGAACAAATCATATGGGCAAAACATTTCCATGTTTACCTAGGAAAAGATTTATACTCTTTGACAGGGAAAGTTATAGGCAGGAGAGACAGAGGGTTTTTTTGAGTGTGGTGTTATCTTCTGTAATTTAGAAAGTAGGTAGAATAATGCTGTAATATGTGCAAGTAAAAGTCAAGGGAAAAATACTGGCTATTCAAGTTTTATAGTCTGAACTATAGAATTTCACACAATACAGCATTACAATTGTGTAAGTATTTACACTGAAAAATAAAAGTTGGATAACTTAAATAATTCTCCGTTAAATTATGCTAATTATGAAGTGAAGTTTTTTTGCTATTTTAGTGAGTATTCATGGCAGCAAACTTAGGTATTCACAGGGATGTTGTTCTGGCACTTGTTACTTTTTAAATTAACATAAAAACATACCATTTTGGGTGAAGCATTAAAACCACTTCCATACTTTGTATGGGACTTGTGCAATGAGACCTCAGTATGCTGGAAGAGAATCAGCTTAGGCAGAAGAGGTGCCCCTGTGTGAAGTCCTTTCTTATTAAAAACATATATATATATCTTTTATATCTCAGTGTTAGTAAGAAAAATATTTGAAAAAATGTGTAATTGGTGGTTGTAGAGAAAATGCCAAGAGCTGTTTTTCAGCTGTCATAGTTACTACTCTAAGAAAATCAGGGAAAAATACATTTAAACTACTAGAAACAACATTGAAAAGGAACAATGTAGCAAAGGAGCAATATAGCAAGAGGGCTGTCCTAAGGGAAAGTCTGAAAAATAAAAAGCTCTTCTTCCTAACTTCTGTAGTATGTATGAAAACTAAAAATGATACCCACTAGAGCTAATGTCAGCTAACACTACATTTTGTGCTAATTTGCTTGAAAAAAATCTGCTATGAAAGGCATGCTAATCTTTTAAATTTTCAGAGTTCTGATCTATTTTGGTAGCTACTTTCAAGAGTTCCACTTTTACAAACTTTCTGTAACAGCTGTAACTGCCTTCTTATAGCATCCAATAAATCAGCTAAAAATCCCCACTAAAAAAAAAAAAGGTAAAATTTGGAAAGTAGTTGTTTAAATGTATAGAAGATTGGTGTATGCCATAGCAAAGGCAGACTTTAAGTAACCTACAAAATGATTGTGCTGCATGTATGTGCTGAGCTTATCTGGACCTTGGTTTTGGTTTGTAAAGAAATAGCAGGTGCATGGGTATAGAAACCATGAAGCTTTTCATTATATATATATATTTTTTTTTCTTAATCTTCAAATAATACTTTTAAAAATACTTCCTTTGTACCAGTGAGCAAACCACAAATGTTCCCACTAAATGCTTGGTGGCAGGTGGCACTGGCATGCCTGTGCTCTTTGCCCAAACAGATGGGAACAATTTCCATACATTTCATACGTTTTCATTATTTTCTGCCCTTTATAGATCACCCTTTGCACAGCACTGCTGTGGATGCTTATGGAGAGGAGCATTCTGAACATGAGTCACTTGGTCATGTTTCAACACTGCAAAGGAGAAATACAGAAATAAGGTCTTGCCAGCTTTACATTTAATCTTTGGAATTTTAGCTTAAGTGAGGAAAATGTTCTTTTTGTTAGTTTTCTCTAGTTGCCTATTTTCCTGGCTTGGCTAGGATAGGCTTAATTTTCACCAGTAGTTGGAAGGGAGCCACAGCTGGGATGGACAAGGATTTTGTGTTGCATTAAATTCTTCTCGTGTCAGCCCATGGGGTTTTGTATTTTTCTCCCTTTTCTTCTTCCTGTTTGGGGGGGTAGAAGGGGATGAGTGAATGGCCACGTGGTGCCCAGCTGCTGCCTCGGTCTAAACCACAACAGTCTTTTCTGGTTCACAACATCAGGCATAAAGGGTTGAGATAATGACAAAATCTGACTGAAGCGTGTTAAAACAATGTTATTAGACACAGGATTATTTTTGTATTAGTTAGTTGCATATCAACAATGTTAGCCCTTTTTTTGCGTGGTGGTGTTGTGTGCATCCTTGTGTCCTGTATATAATTCCTGTGACGCTGTTTGTTGTCTCTGGGAAATGGGTCAGGAGCCTCGTGTTGCTTTACTGCTGGGCACTGTTGACTTAGGAGATGATGGTGTCACTGGTTTTGAGGTTAAACTGGTACATGTATGTGGCCTTGTTGTTTTTCAGTTGGGACTGCTTTTGGTCAGGGACCTGAGTGCACCTGGCGAGTGATGCAGGAGGATGGAGGAGTCCTATGTCTGCCACAAGGGGACTTTATTTTGGAGGGGAACAGCCAGTGAATTAAACTGTGTTGTTAATTGTTAAATAACTGCCTGGCATGACGTAGATGGTATTGAATAAGGGGTGGATAATGTACTGGTTTGGCTAGGAGAGGCCTAATTTTCACCAAAAGCTGGGAGGGAGCTACAGCTGTTCCCAAGCAGTACATTGATTTAAGTGCTTACTGTATTTTTTTGATTTGAAAGGATTTTAAAATACCTCTCTGAGGTATTAATTAGTTCTCTGGACACTGGTGTCTGAAGTTAAAAGGTGGAAAATTTGAAAATCAGGTAAAACCAGTCAAATTGTATGTAACAAAGTAGATTTTTCAAGTCTTTTAATACAAATTTTAGTCTATTTCTCATTTGTTAAATCAAATTTTGTTTAAATCTGAAATAGTTCTTATTTGAATGAAATAGCAAGACCTAATGTGTTTATGAGAGCATAGGGTTTTTCTTTTTTTTTTCTCAACCCCACCAAGAAAGGTTTCTCCATCCCTGCTAAAATATCCTCAGTAATAATTTTGTTTCTGATTCAGAGTTTCAGAGCTTCTGCTCAACAGAATGCAGCTATCCCAGTGGCCAGTTAGTAATGGATTTCTAAACTGTCGTGAAGGTTGCTGCTGAGGGATAAAGATTCTGTTCCCTTTATGTGCCACTTGCTACTTTTCTTGTAGTCTATTTAGGAAACACAAACTAAATGACATAGCATTACAAAATGTTCCCCAAAATGCAAGGTTTTGTTGTATATGTGGTTGAAGATCATTCTTTCTCAGTGTGTATGGGAATTACATGTGGGTATTTTTCTTTTCCTAGTGAAAAAACTCATGGCTCCAAAATGTCTCATGGTGATGTTCAGAAATCGAGCACAGCTGGTCCTGAAGATAAACCCCTTAAGGAGAACGTGGTACAGAAAAAGCTTCATGAGTATTATCAGTCAATTTAATTTTAACTTACTCTATGCCATGCCTGCATTAGAGGGGGAGGGAGAGGAAGACCTTGCATATGTTTCTTAATACTGACTGCCTCAGTACTCAACTGTATTCTAAATAATTAATCTTTAAAGTATTCCTGTGAGATGGCCAAATGAAATGCTTAAAGTGGCAGTCATCTTGTCAACAAGGAGTGTAACATCCAGGTGTTCCTGGACCTTGTAGCACGTTCTCTTGCTCATTTGGCAGTGTGTTCTGTTCTTCTTTCAAGTGTCTTCCTGGAGTATATATTCTTATAGAACGCCATACTAAGTGGAATATAAATCCTTTGTACTTGTTCAGTGTTGAGGTAAAACATATGAGAATTGGACTTCTATCAGTTAAAATTAATTTTGGATATCTATTAGAATTAAACCAAGCCCACTCAGTTTTGAATGAGTGTTTTTTCTCCCTTAGACCGCAGTTAGTGTCAAATGCTTCTGGGCCACGCAGCTTCCAGCTGCACAGAAGAGGCTCACTACCTGCAGACCTGAGAACGTAGGCCTGGGATAAAAGAAGCCATGCAATTGTTTGCATAAAGGTTTTTTATGTATTGAAATATATTTGAATTATTAAAAATTGTGCTGCTAAATTAAGTCCAGACCGTTAATCTTTTACCAGTAAACTGCATGTGTGCAGCACTCCTGTAGAAGAGCTGTTGGTGTCACAGACAGAAAGAACTGGGTTCTGCCTAATTGCTATCCCTCAGAATTTTAAATTAGTAGACCTTGGCTCTTTTTTGGAAGTTTATCTGCTCTTTACATTACAGAAAGCTCAGAATACTACTCGGTCCCAGGTGAAAAGAAGGCGACCTTCAGAGGAGAACACATCAGATCCTTCTGGTAAAGTAGCTTTTTCAGTGGGAGATGAATGCTTTCACAGAACTTAGTGGTGTGAATTTCTGATCTGTAGCAACATACTGCTTATAGAAATGGGAGTTTAGCTTCAGTTTTGGTAGAGACACTCATTAGCAAAGGTTAAATTGAGGGGCTGGTGTGCCATGCAGCTCTGATCTCTGATTTGCATCCTTGGACTCGCCTCACACATCTGAGAGCCTGTGAAGAAACACAGTCTTAACATTTTGTGGAAACAGTTAAAAACACTATTGCAAAGTTTAAAGGAACGTTTTTGTATATAGATTCTTTTAAAGCAGATAGGGGATTAATACAGGTTGTACACAAATAGTAACAGCTCATGATTCTTTGAGTAATGCAGGTTGCCCAAACTCAGGCTAGTAGCTTTTACAGCAGAAACAGCTGCATCTACAGTACACTGTGTAGTTTATCAATTAAATTACTAATGTGCTTGTGGGCTTGCTTGAAATGATGAAGAATAAGAAACAAGCTGTATATGATTGCTCACCTGAATTCTGAAGTGTTCCCAGATAAATCTATTGCAGTTGCTCAGTCAAAGACAGATTGAATAATTCATATATAACTCTTCTCAAGTTTCATACTAAAATATGCATAACTTTTAGATGGTTATTTAATGGTGGGCACAATAACTTTTCTATTTTAGAACATGCAGCTGAATTGTGCAATGCTTATCTTTATTCTGTTGTTTCAGTGGATAGCCCATATTCTGTACAGGTTTGGTGTCCGAAAGAGCTGAAGAGATCTCCTAGAGATATCACAGAACTGGATGTTGTTTTGACTGAATTTGAGAAGATAGCAGCAAATTACAGGTAAATATTCTGCTTTCCTGTGGCTGAATACTCAGTTTTAAAAAACAATTGCCTGCTTTTTTTGCATATGGCTGCAGTAATACCCAGTGTTGCATGGTTACATTCTGATGTTGTTTTAATTATTATGTTTCTGTGGGTACAAGTGTTTTTTCATATATGATCTTGAAGTGTTTTCCAGGGACTTGATATTTTTCTGAGCGTAGGAACAACACATCTCAGCTGCTGTTTTTCAAGGTAGAAATGAAGCTAAGGCTAGTACATGAAAAGTTCTGCAGTTGCCTCTGCTAATAGCTGCTTAATACTGGGTTTTCTACATTACTCAGAGGAATGGTTCTGGATGAGATTTCTCCTGTAGTAAACTGAATGGGTTGTGTTTTGTCCCTCTGACTTCTCCAGACAGAGCACAGAATCAAACGTTTGCAGGAAAGCTGTCGATGGCTTCTGCTCTGCTTTCAAGGTCCAAATCACCGATCTTGTAAGTACACCGTAAATAAAATCATTTCTGTGGGAGTGGTTATAGAGCTGTCTATGACATCATAGTCAAAGTGCCTATGATTTTATAACGTCTCTTACACGTTTATTTTATGATACTTCAAATTTTCTAGTGTCTTGTCAGGTTAAATAATACGAAAACACAGTTTGCTGTGTGCAGGGAATGATTTGGTGTGTCTGCTGGCTTGCTTGAGAATTGCCTTTAGGCACAGCACTGCAGTCATGCAAGTCCATGGCAAAACTGTCAGCTTTGGAGAATAAGGAAGCATCTAATAATCCTGAAGTGTTTGTTCTATCTAAACCATCACGTAGTGAAAATGGATAAAAGCTGTATAATTAAAATGAGCTAACAGTTATGTCAAACACTGTTTTAAGAGCTCGTGCACTGGAGCTTTAAAAGGTTTGATTTAATCTTTATCCTGTGTCTCAGCGACTTTTGTGTAGAGGCCTGACTAAGGTCTCTAATGTAGTTCAGGCACATACCCTTTTTTAATTAACACTTTGAACCTAAACGTTAAGAGATTATTTATTAGCTTGGAAGAGTAAGACTACTTCCCACTAATTACGATGAGTAAACTAAACTTAGAACTTTGTAGGAGTTGTAGTAAGTATGATGGATAAGTACTAAAACTATAGTTCTAAGTGATTTATTAAAATGAGCAAGTTTTAAAATTATACATTTCCCATGAAGTTACAGAAAAATTTAGTTTTACACTAATTGATACAAGGAGTATTAGTTGCATTAACTGTTGCAAAATGTCTAGTTTTAGGCAATAGTCTTCCTTGGGCACGAGGACAAAGGAAAGAGTTGATACACGACTGAAACACTTGTAGTCTTCCTTAAAACCAGTGTTGGACTTTTTAAATAGCTTTTTATGTTATTCTGGTTATCCTTGCAACTGTATTTTTGGGAGGATAGAGATGAAATTGAGATCCCTAGTCAATCTGTAATTCTTCTTTTCCTTTATAGATAGCAGAAGTACAGGAATTAAGGACTATGAAGAAAAAAAATGCTAAGGTAAATACATCTGTATCACTAGATTGTACAGCATACAGAGGTGGGCGTGGAAATTTCGGGAAGTTGACTACAAAAAAATAAAACGACTCACAAAAAAGTGTACTATATTGTGGAATCAACTGCACAAATAGAGGGATAAGGAGCCACCAGGGATTCTCTGGAAAAGATCTGAGTAAATACGAACTCGGTTCACAGACTCCATACGTACACTGCTACACTCGTGTAAATGGAAGGAGGAGTGCACATTAGATTGTGTAGGTATCTATGCACGTGTATTACTCTGTTTTTTAATAAGCACTGATGAGTCAGTTAAACAGTGAGAGCTAACCTTGAAGAAACAGAGATGAATATAAAATCTAGGAGAGCAGCAAAGATGGTGACCTGTGAAGACAGACTTGGATTGCTTAGTTTAAAGGAGAGAAGTTTCAGGGAGCTGCAGTCCCTGAATAAATGTGCAGTAAGTCTTGTTCAGGGGAAGGCTGAAAATGCAACCGGGGCGTGTTGACTGGAGGAGGCACCTGGTGTCAGGGCAGAAAAACATGGCAGTGGTTTCATCAGGAGAGAGGTGGCAGGTTAGACGCTGTCTGCCACAGGTTTTCTGCCCAGATTAGCATCTTCTGGAAACTTTTTGATGACAAAATAGTTTTTAACAAGTAAAGTCAACAGAGAGGTTATTCTGTGTGGTAGCAATTAATATGCTAAAGTTTTGTTCATTTGAGGTGATCTAGTAAGCTGCTCTGCATGTAGTGTGAGAATTCTAGTACACACCCAAAATTCGCAGCCACTTGGAGTTATCCTTATACGTGTGTTTGAAATTAGATTTGTAGTAGCTAAATTTAAATTTACTATTAGTTTTGGCATTCTATTTTAAATTGAATGTTGTATTAAAGCTTAGTTATGCTTAGATCCTTAGTTATGGCAATCATACTGAACATACGTTTGTATTAGTTTGCCTTTTAAAAACAGAAACAAAAACCTGCAGTTGATCATATTTGAGTTCAAAATGTCACTAACTCCTTTTGTGTGCTTCTAAATCCAGTATTCCTTAAGAGAAATTTTGGATGGAGATGAGTGTTTAACATTTTAAAGAGCTTTAAAGTGTTTAAAATACAAACGTAAAATATGGCTTTTTATATGGTCACCTGTCTTGGAATCTTCTACATCCAGGATCAGAAGCATAAAACCTCAAAGAAAAAAAGGCAATGAAATTTGTTTGCCTTTGAAGTTACAGAAGCTGTTTCAAAGACTTTGTTCACTGTTCTGTTTCAGCTAATGAGAGACATCGAAAAGAAAAGGCAGCGACTGTTCCAACTCAGAGAGGAGCTAATTGGGTATGTTTTTAATGAGATGAACAGTGATAGTCTGAAGAGCTTATGAAGTCTGATATTTTGTAACTCAGAACTGAGAGCAACTTCTTTTTTTGTTCTTTCATTTTAGTTTGATGAAACTCTACTTCTGTATTAGGCTCTGTTTTTACAAAAACTCAGGATAACCTCTTCTTTCCATATTTCAGTTGCCTAGATAGTCATTCTTGCAAGTTCTCTTAGCTAGCTAGTCAGTGGGGATGGTATTTCAGACCATACGCTCATAGGAACAACCTCGATGTTACAAATGGAATTACACCCATGATGAAAAGGTAATACAGAGGGCTTGTGTGGTTTTTATAGTGGGAGAATGTTTGTCAGCTCTGCAATTTGGCAGGGATGCCTCTAAGTACATGGTTTGCTTCTCGTAGCCACACAGTTCCCCTGCTCTAACTCGACGTTAATCGTAAGTACCGTTGAGATGCACAACAGAGAAATGATGTTCTTTGGGAGAGCCATTAGACTTCCCCAAATCCAGCTGGTAACCAGTGATAAGCTTTATACTGAAGCTGTAAGTGAATGCTGTAGGGAGCTGTGCCCTTGGGCCCACAAAGGCAGATTAAAAGCCCTTCCTCTGTGGCCATGGGTGTCTTGTTTTCTTTGCAGTACTGTGGACAAACTTCACTTAAAGAACTAATTAAGAAATATGTTCATCATAGTTACACAATGAATATGCAGATACAGTCATCAAAGCCTTGATCTTTTTCAGAGCTGAACCACAAATGATACAACTACAAAGAGAATATGCTGAGGTGCAGGAAAGGAAATCTTCCTTAAAGCAAGCAACTGACTTAGTTACTGATTTAAGGGCACTACAGCAAGACTATTTGGATTATAAAGAAGACAACCCAAAAGCAGAAGTAGTAGTAAGTACACATTGCATCTGTTTCTGAGCTGTTCTGGATCAGCCTCCTCTCTCTCTTCTTTTTCCTGGACTGATGATGGGCACTTGAATTGTTTAACTTAATTAACAATATATTGCTATTTCATGTATCTTTGTGGAAGCAACTTGAGAATCATTGGTGGAACTGTGCTGCAGTATCTCATTTTTTTTGGTCTCATGTGTAATAGAAATCTAACCATTTTTAAAGACTCTCTAATGTTGGCTGTTATTTGCTTTTAAAAATCACATTGTGCTATTTCAGATAATGTAAAAATAATACAGAAACTTAGGTGATTTTTCAGAGTTAAAAATGTTGCCTTGTAATTTTATTTCCTTAACAACAGTATGGAACTTCCAGCCTCCCTGCTCTTCTGGTGGAGTCACGGAGAGTCCTAAGAGCGGAAAGACACTTTTGGAATATTAACATGAAACTGGAAGAGGCTCTAGCTGTACAAAGAGGGAAGTTATCAAAGAAATGTTAAGTGTTTTGCAATAAACTTTTTAACATTCGTTAGGAACAGTTATATTAGAATGGTCAATGCTTAAAGCTTGTTTAATCATTGTTGCTCTGTTTTGCTTCAGTGCTTAAAAATCAGAGACTTAATCGGAGCTTGTGTCTTATCAAATGGCCTATGTGAGAACTTACTCAGAACATCAATGAAATTAATGATGTAGCAATTCCAGTTAAAGTAGTAAAACGTTTCTGTGTATTAAATGTTGTTTTTTAATCTTGGGCTACTAAAATAATGTGATCCTGAAAGCAAGATACACTTGTAAAAGAACGCGTAGACTTCGGTTGAACTATTGATAGAGAAACCCTTTTATTAAATTTGTATTTGAAATAATTACATCCCATTCTTTTCTGGAAGTAAATAAATATTTCCCATGGATTATCAGTAAAGCTTGGATAGAAAAGTAATAAAATGGAAACCACACAGCAGAATTTGTTAAAAGTGCTAAGCAATCATCAAGAGTTTTCAGTCCAGTACTCTTTAGCCAGGCTTCACAGCTAGCAGGCTGTCTGCTAGCCAAGTCTGTGGTTAACTGTCGCCTTTATGGCAAGCGTCCTGTTTCCTTAAAACTTCCAAAAGAACTTCATCAGGAATTTCTTCCATGGCATAATTCAGACTGTCATCTGCAGCTTCTGCCAGTTCCACATCTTCAGTCGCTTCTAGGAAACGGGCATCATCGCTCGCATTGTCCCACTCGCTGTCTGACAACAGGAACTCCTGAGAGAAGCTTTTTTCTGGAGGTACTGAGCTGTCTGACAGGCCTGATGTGTTGGAGGTTGGCTTTGCTTTTTCTTCCATGCTCTTCCTTTCATCCATTACTGTGCACTCTTCATCCTTTTAGAAGCAAGAATACTACTTATTCCAGATGAAAATGTTCTTCATACCTTTAACTCTTCTGTTCTGAAAGTTTGAAACTCTTAAGAAGCTGGCCAACAAGACAGCTTTTCCAGCCCATTAATTCATAGCCACATTGACCTGCAAAGGCCTATTTTAATAGGAATAGAATTGTGTTGGTTTTCTAGCAAATTACAAGCAGTCTGTTGTACACGGCTCCTTAAAATAATACAAGGTTAAAACTAATTTTAGTGTTGTTTAAAGATACTGCCAGGATCTGAAAATGCACTTCCTGTGAAATAACACTAACAGCTATTGATGACCTGCTGAAGCAGAGCTTAATGTGCAGTTCTGCTGTATGGAATCTGAAAGTGTAAATGTGAACGCTGCAGAGATTTAAACTGACCTCTTGTTGCCTACTTGGTGGAAAAACTGTGATGTTCAGGGCTTAGGAGCTAGGTGAAGTATCAGGTCAGTTTAAATATTCTGCCCGTGTGGGTAAACATATAACAGCTTTAGGACACTACAGTGGAGTTCAGGGAACTTCAGGTTTGGGGGTCACTGACTTGAATCTGACTGACTGAAGTGTTCCAGGAGCACTTCTGTTTTAGCTGGCCCAGCACAAAATCAGGTGTGCACAGCAGTTTTGCCTTCTCCTTGTCTGTGTGCTGGCAGCTGCTGGTCGGGCCAGAACAGAAGCAGTCCTGGGGGAGGTTAGGTTGTTCCCATAACCTAGATTTATCTGTGCTGGCAGTTCTTGTGCTAGATATGCTGCTGGAGAACTTAAAAAATGAATGTGGAGCTACCACCCTAGCTCTGCTGCCCTGGGGAGCTCTTCTGTAACAGTGTAAGCACTGCATGGAGCTCAGCAGACGGTGTCAGTGGGGATTTTCCATGGCTTCCAGAGACAGCTTTACTCACACGGACCTGAGCGTATCGACAGGACACAAACATACCTCTTTGAAAACAGATGGGAGACATATCCTAGGTGGCAATGGAAAGCCTGCATTAAATACATGGCATTGATTAAAGTTAACATTCCAAAAAGTATTAAGTATAGTTGCTTTAAAATCACAGAATACGTACTTTGTGATTTGAAATTGCTTTCTCTGCAGACTGGATCGTGACACTTTTGATACCAGACTTCCTTCTTTAGATCTACCAGAATCCTAAGAATGAAATCATTTAGGTTTTGGTAACCATACATGAAGGAAGTGCATGCATACAGTAGGAAACTTTGGTGCTAAATGAACATGCTTTGTTTGTCCCCATCTATAGGTATTGCTTTCATACTCTGACATACTTATTACATACTCTGTACAGCTTGTCACTTTTTTTCAAAAACCTATTTTGAAATTTTTGGGTGAAAAGTGAAATTTAGTCCACTTTATTACATTAAGCTTGGGAAAAAAAAAAAAATCAGTAAAGTAAAAATAATATATGAGACCTAACTGCAAGATAAGATTTTGTTGCTGCTGCTGTTACAGATAATTTAATTATAAAAGCCAGGTAAAACCACTATTTCCTGTCAACTGAGGAGACAACCCAGCTTTTTTCAGCTGTGCTTTAGAAACACCAAGCTTCAGGCAACTTGCTTGAGAAAGCCCATGTTCATCTAGCACAGTAGCTGGGGGGGATTTTTATACCCTTGTTTCTCAAAAACACATTCCTTATCTTTCAATTATTTTAAAAGTTACATAGACTTAAAATTAATTTAAAATATTTGTACTAATGATATACTGAAATTCTAACATGATCTAAAAAACTTGACTTTTCAACAATTACTTTGCTAAAACTATGAGAAGTCTGAGCCCCTGTAGAGTCATTACCAAAACTCACCTTGACTGAGGTGGTGGCAGGAATTACCTTTGTCATTTTAATAACATAAGAATGTAATTTAAGATGCACTGTAGATGAATTTCAAAGTAGTCTCTTTTCTTTACCTTATTTCTGATTGTTCAGCTTCCTAGCTAAGAAGCATCCAAGCCTAGTATTGCTTCATAGCTTTAACATGCTGTGACTTGCATGTCAGCATCTTTAGACTCATTTTAAATAGTATGAAGATTACTTCATAGAAATATTAGAAATACAAGTTCAGTTATCACAAAGTAAATTTAAGGGCAGGGGGAAGTTTGTTGTTTTTTTTTTTTTAAAAAAAAAATTGCATCTCCACAAAGCAAGAGAGCAGAAATTTTGACGTTTGCTGATTCTATCCGTAGGAGTTTTTCAGCATTTTTATAGCATAACAGTTGAACAGGGAAATACATAAAGCTGTGTTAAAATGAATAGTCAATAGTTTAAGAACATACATTATGTTGTTACTTCTGTGAGCTCTCCCAATGTTTTCACACCAGCGGTAACCAGAAATATCATATACAAGTATTTCCTCCAGAGAGAAGTACTTCCATCGCCGTATCCCTTCGGGGAAAAAAATATTAATTAATTCTTTAAAAATACTACTGCAAACCACTAATTCTTAGGTAGTAAAGTGGTCCTTACCTCCTTGTACCCCATCTTTATTAACCAAAGAACGAACAAAACAATCAATTTCTGGATAGGGTGAATGCTGATAACCTTCCATGGAATCTGTTGCAAGAGAAGCCACACGCCCAATTACTGGTTTTGCCATGATGATGTGCAAGAGTGTTACAGTGATACATTATGTGGACAGAACCTGTACAAGAATCACACCAAATTCTTAAACGAAGCCAGGGCTGAATCCACTGTTGCTTCCCTGTGGACCTCTTAAGCTGGCTGCCCTCCGTGCCCACTGTGCCAGGGCCGGGCCGCAGCACGGCCGCTGTGGGGGGGGAGGTGGGTTGGGCCCTGCGGAGCCCCTTCAGCAGGGCTGTGCTCTGCCTCCTGCAGCCAGCCAGCTGAAGAGAAGCCCTCCTGGGCCCTGTTAGGGTCCAGGGCACAGCACAGCTCAGTTAAGAGTACTTTTTTCCCTATAGAGTAGAAAAGGCTTGAGGTACCTCTGTTGCTTCTGGTAGTTTTACTGCTTAGAAAAGCAGGTGTTTTTGTCTCCTCCTCTGAACAGCCAGATGACAGAACTTTTGTGTCATCCTTCACTCTGAAGAAAGAGAGAGGCTACCATGTAAAGTCTGTGATTCTTGCAGCATGTAACGCGTTGTAACTTGCCATAGTATGGCACAAAGCAATATAGTTCTGGGCCACCGGCTCTAGGTGGCCCTGCTAGCACAAAGGTCTTGGCCACGATGACCTCCAGAAGTCCTTGCTGACCTCACCAGGCAGTGATCCTGTGTGTTACCTTTTGCTATCCCTGTAGCACTTTTTCTCCCCATTTTGACGGTTTCCTCTGACTTGCACCAGCAGAGGGCAGGGTTTCCTCCTCCAGGAAAGCAAAATCCTGGCAAAAATCCCAGGACCCAGCCATTTAAAGACTGCTGGGCCACACTTCTAGAGCAGAATTTCTCTAGCTGTAATATTTATGTAATAAATTTATGCATCTATATCCTTTGAAATATTTCGATTATTTTTTCTCTCTCTACAATGAACTACTTTTCTCTGCCATATCACTAGCTGGAAGCCAGATGATCACAGAAGACTAAATACAGCAGAATTTCTCATCCATATTTATGACAGACCCAGCTATGGGACTACTGGCATCAGTTCAGGGTCATGAAACATTTCAGGATATAAAAACTGACATCATAAATACTTTTTTAATAAAAATATTATACATAATATCATACAGACATATCTACCATTTTAACCTCCTTTCTGCTGCAGTAGTAACTCGGATCATCTTAAGATACATTCAGTGCAGGGTAAGATCTATCAGAGGATCAGATTAGATATAATAAACATGATTATTGTATGTACCAGTATCCATCCCAAGGAGGTATCTGTGCCAAGTCCGGTATGCAAGTACACGTGTACAAAAATCCTTCTTTGTTGTTTTTTTTTTTTTAAGAAAATTTTTTTTATCATACTCTGGAAAATATTGAGACTCCTGAGACCATTGATAGTAGTTATTCATAAGTGCTGCAGGAGAAAAATCACTCAAATATATTTAAAAGTATTTTAAATTCTATTGGCTTTATACAATTACCTAATGTTGCAGATCAAGGAGGAAAGAAAATACGCTTCTTCCAAGGAAATGTTCTTTTCACAGTTAGGGACAAACTTATTATCCTCTGCTATCTTCAGAATCACATTTTTTCCTGCTTTTGATGATTTATACATCCGGAAATTTCTATTCTTTGTATAAACTCCTGTAGGAAAACAAGTGTTTCTTAACATAACAATACTGGCCAGGGTTTAAGATAGTTAGCACTTCTAAATTAAACCATTTTCCTTACACCCAGCTGTGGGTCTAAGCAATGGACAAGAACTGTTGCTGACTTTGGCTCACATCCTGTAGAAGGAATGCAACAAAGCGGGATCATGTGCACACAGACATTTTTATGTTCTAGAAGAATTAAGACAGACTCAACAGCTCTACATGGGCATTTTAATCCTTCTGACGTTATAATTGCTAAAAGTTCCCCTTCAGTATATGAAATTGGTGCTTCCACATGAAGTACAACTGACTGTAAAAAGCTGCACAATTATTTTAAGAAAGGACTTGATATTCATCAAAATTCCTAGTTTCTGTGGACCATACCCCACTCATCTGAAGCAGGTATCAGGAAAGTTTAACTCCCATCTCAGAAACAACCAACCAAACAAAAGAACATGTATTGTAAACATTGGCCTAATTTGTCTAAGAAGTTACTGGACAGGTGGGTGGTCTATTTGTGGGTTGCATTTAATTTTCATTAAGATAAAAACTTAAAGAACTTGTACAACAATAATGTCACATAACTTTCTATAACTGCAGCCTCATCACGTAATTCAGTATTCCAGATATTTTGATTTTAGCTTTCCAGTTTGAGGTAATGCATGCAAGAAATACTGAGGGTGGTTAGTTTGGGGGGAACTAACACCAACTTCTTAAGAAGTGACACAGTAAAGAGTTTCCATGCTTGAAGGAATTTTGCATAGTAGGTACAAAGAATGCCTTCTGAATCAGTAATGGAGAAGCCTACTATAAGGCAAACTTTGGGATTATGTTTGAACAAATCAGACATATTGAAGAGGCCAGCAATAAAAGTGATCCTGAATTCCACGAGAAGAATTTGAAGGAATGGGGATTCTTCAGAGAAGTCTGAGAGAAAACCAAGATAAAGTCCTCAAGTACCTAACACAACTGCTGTGTAAAGGTGTGCTAAACTACTTTCACTTCACTGATGGGGCAAAAAACACACAAAACAGATACGGGGATGAAGAAGGGTCCAAAGGTTTCAAACTTTAGTTTGACAGTGGGTGTTGTGCTCTTGAAGATTTTTAACAGTTTAATACCATGAATAAGCTAAGCCCAACTGGGCCCTGAAGTGCCCAACCCAAAATTTCTATTACTGTCATTAAAACCTAAGAACTGCCATTCCAAACAGGGGAAGAAGGCTCAGTTCATACTTACACAACAATACAGAAGGCCACGCCCATAAGACTTGTTCCATAATTAAGCAGCTTCTAATTCAACTGAAAGGACAAAACTGCAATATATGCTATCCTCTTTTCATCCAATTAGGAGCACTAAAGTCCTTAAGAACAAAAATTCTTTAAGAGTCTTGTGTGGCAAAAGCTTCTTCAAACTTTAGAATAAAATAATTAACTGTAGTAACACAAGTAGTTCCATGGACCAAGACTCTAAGGCTCCTTTAAGGGACAGCATTTCTGAGCACAGTTTCAGCACATGTTAGATTTGTTTAAATTGTGACTGTAGGGACAAGAGGAACACTGTTGTTCTTATTGTCTGTAATCAAAGATTAAGGAACATCTCATTTCTTAATCTTTGTTGCATCCCAAAGAGGATTAAAAGCACTTCTTATATTTACCTAGATCCACAAAAAGTTGCTTGTCACCTTCTTTATCATTTACTATTAGAAAGGAAAATTCTGAGTCTTCTCCCTGCTGTGGTGTTTCCATATCCTTTGTTTGGCGAGCGATGGCTGGCCAGCCTCTGGAAGCATCTTCAACAGCTGTGAGGTTTGTAAGAGAACCTTCTAATCCAGCTCCTTCTGCAGAACACTGGGAAACATGCCCTGCCCCTTCTGGAATCCCAGCAGCAGCTTTTCCCTCCAGTAAACTTATGGCGGGCTGCAAAATGGTTCTCACAAAGTTACCTTAAAAACAAATGAACAAACAAAACCCCAAAGCAGATAATGTCATCTGCGAGTCAAGAAAGAACAGTTCCTCTGCAAACATTTTTCAAAGCAGCCAAGATGGAAGTGGTTGGAGTTTGTGGTTTTGGTTTGGCTTTTTTTTCCTCCTCCTTCTGAACTTAAATAAAAATAATAATTTTTAAAATATTTTGATCAGCCCACTATACAAAATGGTTCTAGTTAGTAGCTAAGAAACCCATGCTTGGGCAGATTTTTTTGCTTTTAATTTTTACCTTTTTTTTTTTTTTCCTTAAACAGGAGTAAATAAACAGCTGTGTGTATATTAATTATATTATACAGCCACAATCTTCCCCTTTGCCATTTCACTACCGAGAACAAAGAGGGCTGAGAAGCAAGATGGCCTGGCAATTACCTCATTAGAAATAATGACAACATAACAAAACCAAAATGCATAGACTGATTTCCAAAACTAAATTCAAAGTCCCAGATAAAAATGCAAAATTGAAATAAATGTCTGTCTTTGGTATCTTTCAAAAGAATTTCTCCTACCCATCACAACACCTGTACCACTGCAGTTATTAAAGCCTCTTCTGTTCAAGCTGCTCCCATGCCTGGAGCACAAACAATCCTGACTTGGTGATTAATGAGAGGAAATACTGATGCTTCTGTGAACAGCAATTTTTCCACTAGAATGTCAGAAACCTACTGAACAAGTTCAGTTTGGGTCTTCATGCCAGCTTATCTGGAACATTTCTGGATATGAACTAGGCTGTTAATAGTAAGACTCAGTCAAATGCTTAATGACAGTGATATAAACAAAAGGCAATCAAGGTCCTTTGTAAAATGTACCTTAGTATTTCAAGTACTACTTAATGAAACTCTGCAATTCATTAATAAAGCATTCCTATAGCTCTGCTTTTACACATCTTATTTTTTTTAATCCAATCACAAGTAGTTTTTAATCATTTAGCTGAATATTTTTGCAGTAGTTAATGACAGCATGGGATGATACTAACAAGCTCAGATTTAGGATCCTGAAGGGCTTCTGGTTGTCCCTCTCGCTATTGCTTTTCTTAATTTCACTTTCCAAATGATTAAAAAATTTCACTTGCATCTTCATGGTGTGTTAGCTGATGTCCGAGTTTCACCAGGGCTTACTCGAACAACAAATTACTTTTAGAGAAGTATTTTGTAATGACTTCTTGTTTTGCCAATGACCAGGCC